GGTGCCCACCACCACGCCTGGCTAATTTTTTTATTTTTAGTAGAGACGGGGTTTCACCATGTTGGCCAGACTAGTCTCAACCTCCTAACCTCAAGTGATCCACCTGCCTCAACCTCCCAAAGTGCTGGGATTACAGGCATGAGCCACCACGCCTGGCCTGTTTTGCCTTTCTATATCAATTTTAAAGTCAGTATGTCTGTGTCTACCGAAAAAAAAAAGGCTATTGAGATTTTGATAGGAATTGTATTAAATGTATAGGTCAGTTTGGGGAAAACTGATGTTTTTACTATGTTGAATTTTCCAATATGTCTCACGTTTATTCTTTGATTTATTTCATCAGTGTTGTGTAATTTTAAGCATATAGATTCTGTACATGTTTTTGTTTGATTTATGCAACAATGAAAATTTTTTTGGAATGATTTAAAATGATAAGGCATTTTACATTTTGAATTTTGCCTTCCACTTGTTCACTGTTAATATATAGAAACAAGACTGATTTTTGTGTTACCTTTGTAATCTTTGACCTTTCGTTTTTTTTTTGAGACAGAGTTTTGCTCTTCTTGCCCAGGCTGGAGTGCAATGGCACAACCTCTACTCACCACAACCTCCGCCTCCTGGGTTCAAGCAATTGTCCTGCCTCAGCCTCCCGAGTAGCTGGGATTACAGGCATGCACCACTATGCCCAGCTCATTTGGTATTTTTAGTAGAGACAGGGTTTCTCCATGTTGGTCAGGCTGGTCTCGAACTCCCGACCTCAGGTGATCCTCCCAGCTCAGCCTCCCAAAGTGCTGGGATTACAGGTGTGAGCCACCACGCCTGGCCTTTAATCTTTGACCTTTCTGAATTCACTTATTAGTTCCAGGAGCCTTTTAAAGATTTCTTAGGATTTTCTATATAGACAATAGGGACAGTTTAATTTCTTCCTTAACATTCTGTATACCTTTTATTTCCTTTTCTTGCCTAATTGCACTGAATAAGACTTTCAGTACTATGTTGAATAAGAGTAGTGAGAATGGATGTGTTTACCTTGTTTCTGATTTTAGGGGGAAAGGGCTGAGTCTTTCACTATTAAGTACTACATGAGCTATAGGTTTTTATAGCTGTTTTGTAAAATAATTTCCCTTTCATTCTTAGTTTGCCAAAAGTTTTTAATCGTAATGGATATGGATTTTGTTAAATACTTTGTATCAATCAACATGATTATGTTTGGTATTTGTTTTGTTTTGGTTTTTGGTTTTCACTTGTTTGTTTTTTGAGACAGTATTGCTCTGTCTCCCAGGCTGGAGTGCAGTGGTACAATCATGGCTCACTGCAGCCTCTGCCTCCCAGGCTCAAACAGTCTTCCCATCTCAATCTCCTCAGTAGCAAGGACCATGGATGCACACCACTATACCTGGCTAATTTTTAAAGTTTTTCTGTAGAGATAGGGTCTCACTAGGTTGCCCAGACTTGTCTCGAACTCCTGGGCTCAAACAATCTTGACTCTTCAGCCTCCCAAAGTGCTGGAACTACAGGTGTGAGCCGCCCCGCCTGGTGTGTTACTCTTTTTTTTTTTGTTAATATGGTCGATTATATTAACTGATTTTTTAAATGTTGAACTAGTGTTGCATACCTGGAATAAATCTCACGTGGTTGTGCTGTATTGTTTTATTTATATGTTGCTGAATTATATTGTGTGTTGCATACCTGGAATAAATCTCACGTGGTTGTGCTGTATTGTTCTATTTATATGTTGCTGAATTATATTGTGCTAATATTTGCTAAGAATTTTTATGTCTGTTCCTGAGACGAATTGGTCTGTAGTCTTTGCTGTACTCTTTGATTTTTGTATCAGAGTAATGTTGACTTCATAAAATGGCCTGGGAAGTATTCCTTACCCTTCTATTTTTTTAAGAGATTAAGTAGAATTGGTTGTTATCTCTTTAAGTGTTTAGTAGAATTCACCAGCGAAGCCATCCAAGACTGGAGATTTGTTTTTCAGGTTTCTAACTATGAATCCAATTTCTTTAGTAGTTATCAGTTATTCAGGCTCTCTATTTTATCCTATATGAATTTTGGTAGTTTGTGTTTTTATAGAATTAGTCCATTTTGTCTAAATTGTAGAACTTCTGAGTGTAGAGTTATTTGTAGTATTCTCTTGTCAACCTTTTAATGTCTGGAGGTCTATAGTAATATCCTTTCTTTATTTCTTGATGTTGGTGATTTACATCTTTTCTTTGTCAGCTTTGCTGGAGGCTTATCAATTTTATTGATTTTTGCAGTGAATTAATTTCAGATTTGATATATTTTCTATGGCTTTGTTTTGTTTTCAATGTCATTGATTTTCATTTTTATTTATTTATTTATTTATTTATTGGCACAGAGTCTCACTCTGTCACCCAGGCTGGAATGCAGAGGCACCATCTCGGCTCACTGCAACCTCTGCCTCCCAGGTTCAAGAGATTCTTGTGCCTCAGTCTCCAGAGTCACTGGGATTACAGGCATGTGCCACCATGTCTGGCTAATTTTTGTATTTTTAGCAGAGATAGACTTTCATCATGTTGACCAGCCTGGTCTCGAACTCCTGACCTCAAGTGATCAATTGCCATGGACTCCCAAAGCTCTGGGTTTATAGATATGAGCCCCCTCATCTGGCTGATTTCTATTTTTATCATTTTCTGATTTCCGCTTTCTTGCTTTATGTTTATTTTGCTCTCCTTTTTCTAGTTCTTGAGGTGGAAACTTAGATTGTTGATTTGAGGCCTTTCTTACTTTTCTTTTTTCTTTTCTTTTCTTTTCTTTTCTTTTTTTTTTTTGAGACAGAGTCTTACTCCATTACCCAGGTTGGAGTGCAGTGACGCAATCTTGGCTCACTGCAACCTCCATCTCCCAGGTTCAAGCGATTCTTCTGTCTCAGCCTCCCAGGTAGCTGGGACTACAGGTGTGTACCACCATTCCCGGCTAATTTTTGTATTTTTAGTAGAGACAGGGTTTTACTATGTTGGCCAGACTGGTCTTGAACTCCTGACCTCATGTGATCTGCTTGCCTCGGCCTACCAAAGTGCCCAAAGTGCTGGGATTACAGGTGTGAGCCACCATGCCTGGCCCTTTCTTCCTTTTCAATACGACAATTTTAGTGATATAAATTGCCCTCTCAGTACTCCTTTAGTTATATCCACCAATTTTTATATATAGTATATTTATTTTCATTTACTTCAATTTTCAAAATATCCCTGAGACTTGTCTTTGACTTATGGATTGTTTAGAAGTATGTTGTTTAATTCCCAAGTGTTTTGCTTTTTACTGTTATTGTTCTATTATTTATTTGATCGTATTACAGTCAAAAATATAGTTTGTGTGATCTCACTTAAAGTTGTGAAGATTTGTTTTGTGTCTCAGGACATGGTCTATCTTTATGAATGTTCCATGCATGCTTGAAAGAATGTGTATTTTGTTGTTTGGGGGAAGTGTTTTACACATTTTAAGTAGATTGTATTGAATAATGGTCTTGTTCAGTTCTTCTTTATCCCTGCTGGTTTTCTATCCAGTGGTTCTATCAATTACTGAGACAGGAGTGTTGAAGTCTCCAACTTACAATTGTGGATTTGTTTATTTCTCATTTCATTTCTATGAGTCTTTATGTGTTTTGAAATTCTGTTGTTTGTGGTGTACATAGTTTTTTCAAGACAGAGTCTTGCTCCATTGCCCAGGCTGGAGTACAGTGGCTCGATCTCAGCTCACTGCAGCCTCTGCCTCCCGGGTTTCTGTGATTCTCCTGCCTCAGCCTCCCGGGTAGCTGGGATACAGGCACATGCCACCACGCCTGGCTAATTTTTGTATTTTTTGGTAGAGATGGTGTTTCACCATGTTGAGCAGCTGGTCTTGAACTCATGACATCAGATGATCTGCTTGCCTCAGCCTCCCAAAGCGCTGGCATTACAAGCATGAGCCACTGTGCCTTGCTGGTGCATACAGTATTGCTTTTTCTTCTTGGTGGATTATCCCTTTTATTGTGATGTAATGCCCCTCTTTGTTTCTGGTACTTTCTTTGCTCTAAAGTCTACTTTGTCTGAATGTTTATTGAACAACTGAGTGTTCTGCAACACAGCTACTGGCTCATAAAGTAGGCCCCTGTGTAAGTTGAGCATATAGAATGGGTGAATGTTTATTTTAGGTTATATATACACATACATTTTTTTCCTCTGTAAAGGGTGTTGTAAAAATGTAAAATATGTAAAATTCATTTGTAAAAATTCATTTCATGTAGCTAATGTAAAAATGTAAATATGTAAAAATTCATTTCATGTAGCTAATATGGAATTGACAGAATTTGAACTAATTTTGACAATTTCAGAATTAATATTATCCTAGTTTAAAACATAACATTTTATATTTGAATATCATTCCTGTCATTTTATGTACATAATGTAGATGTAAAAACTAATGGCATGAAAAACTTTATAAACATATGCATTACTTGTTTTGGCTAATAATTTTAGAAATATCTGGGTTAGAGTTAGATAGTGGAACATAAAACTTTTATTTTACTTTTTAGGTAAAATCTTAAGTAAAAAACAAACAAAAACCCTTTGTTTATCAATTGTAATGTAACATAGCATTACCATATAAAATAAAATTTTGTCCAGGCCCGGTGAATCCCAGCACTTTGGGAGGCTGAGGCAGGAGTATCCCTTGAGCCCAGGAGTTTCAGACCAGCCTGAGCAACATAGGGAGACCCCATCTCAACAATGACAATAACAACAAAAGTTAGCTGGGCATGGTGGCATGTGCCTGTAGTCCCCACTACTTGGGAAGCTGAGGTGGGAGGATTGCTTGAGCCCAGGAGGTGGAGGCTGCAGTAAGCCGTGATTGTGCCATTACACTCCAACCTGGGTGGCAGAGCAAGACTCTAAAACAAAATAAATAATAAAATAAAATAAAATCTTCAATTACATGCATATGAGGGATTCTTGCTGTGCAATGCTTTTCTCTAGATATTTAATTTTTTTTTTTTTTTTCAGTTTATGTGAAGAACCAGCTCAGTTGGATACTACAGATTAAACCAGGGGTTTTCAATGAATACAGAACCATGTGGTTCAAATCCTACAGGATGACCTTTTCCTGTCTGAACAGAATAAAGAGTTTCAGGTGAGTTTATTATTACCGTGGCAAATATTCACGTAATTATTTGCAATAGGTTTTTAGTATTATCTTTAATAAACCCAGTCAGTATGTAATAGTTCATGTGGTTTGATTAAAGTAGCTTGTGTTTATTTAAGTAGTCTCAACTAATTTATTTTCTAATAATTTTTAAATTTGGGGAGTTTCAAACCCACAGAAATGGTAATAGAATAATATAGTATACAGGCAATAAATAACCTTCATTCAGATTCAGAGATAGCTTTTGTTTTCAATATAAGACTATTACTTAGAGAAGAATTTTTATTTCCTTATAATGTCCTTATGACAAGACACAAACAATGCAGTGATTAAAATCATAAATATTACTTACAATACCTAATATAGTATTTTAAAATTTTTAGAAATCATAAATGATTTGGGTGCTGCATAAATATGATAAGGTGGCTAAGGTAGTAAAATTGAATGAAAGTAATATCTTTCTATATTTATATTTTATAAGCCAACTTTTAACCTTGTGAAAATATTGTATAGCATTAATACTTGAACTCTGTTTGTTTGTTTGTTTTTGAGGCGGAGTTTCACTCCTATTGCCCAGGCTGGAGTACAATGGTGCGATCTCAGCTCACTGCAACCTCCACCTCCCGGCTTCAAGCGTTTCTCCTGCCTCAGCCTCCCGAGTCAATGGGATTACAGGCATCTACCACCACGGCCAGCTAATTTTTTTTTTTTTTTGAGACAGAGTCTCGCTCTTGTTGCCCAGGCTGGAGTGAAATGGCGCGATCTTGGCTCACTGCAACCTCCGCCTCCCAGGTTCAAGCGAGTCTCCTGCCTCAGCCTCCCAAGTCAATGGGATTACAGGCGCCTGCCACCACAGCCAGCTAATTTTTTTTGTTTGTTTGTTTGTTTGTTTTTTTTTTGAGACAGAGTCTCACTCTTGTTGCCCAGGCTAGAGTGCAATGGCGCAATCTCAGCTCACTGCAACCTCCGCCTTCCAGGTTCAAGCAGTTCTCCTGCCTCAGCCTCCTGAGTAGCTGGGATTAGAGGCATGTGCCACCACACCCGGCTAATTTTGTATTTTTAGTAGAGAAGGAGTTTCACCATGTTGGCTAGGCTGGTCTCGAACTCCTGATCTCAAGTGATCCACCCACCTCAGCCTCCCAAAGTGCTGGGATTACAGGCATGAGCCACCGTGCCCAGCCTTGAACTCTGTTTTCTAAGTGCTTGTTCCTCCTTCTTGTAAATGAGCCCCTTTGAGATTGGGTTTATATGAAATCATTCTTAGTCAAATGAGCAATCACCTACTGTTATCTATTGTAAATTAGTCCTTGATTACTGAGGCTTTGCATGAAGCATGGACAAGGGGGCTAATATTCCTAAGATAATATTAAAGAGGAATGACATTTGAATCTCAAAAGAAAAAAAAGTAATGAATATAGAATATGCTCTCGTTATGTGGCTAAAAAAACGTAATAAAAATGTGAATGGCATTACTTTTTCTAAGTTAACATCCTTATTATCTTTTACCTAAGCAGCCCTTTGAAGGATTTTTCTATACTATATACTACTAAATGGAAGTCAGTGTAGTGTCTAATCCCACGTTATTCCTGTTTGATTCCATTTAATTAAATAAAATTTTAGGCAAATTATATACTTTTCTGGGCTTTTCCCTTCAGATTATTCATTTACCAAGTGCTTCCTGAGCACCGTGTTCCAGGAACTGTACTAGTCACTAAGAATAAAATGGTAAGGAAGACAGTCCATGCCTTGCCTTCATAGTGCTTGTGGTCTAGTGGAAGACAGACATGATTGATCAGATAATCACACAGCCCCATGAAGAAGTACAAAGTGGTATAGGAGTTAAAATAGGGGGATAGGGGGATGAGGGGAACATGACCCAGTTTTGAGGATCAGGGAAGATTTTTTTGTTTGTTTGTTTGAGACAGAGTCTTGCTCTTTCACCCAGGCTGGGGTGTAGTGGCATGATCTCAGCTCACTGTAGCCTCCACCTCCCTGGTTCAAGCAATTCTCATGCCTCAGCCTCCCAAGTAGCTGAGATTACAGGCACCTGCCACCACGCCTGGCTACAGGGTTTCACCATGTTTGCCAGGCTAATCTGGAACTCCTGACCTCAGGTGATCCACCTGCCTCAGCCTCCCAAAATGCTGGGATTACAGATGTGAGCCACCATGAGCAGCAGATCAGGGAAGATTCTTAGATAACATTTAATTGAAACTAAGATCTGAAGGATGAGAAGGAATTAATTAGGCGTTTGGGAGAGGAAAGGAAGGAGGTGGGAAGAATGTTTCAGGCAGAGGGAACAACTAACCTATGTGAAGTACCTGAGGAAACAGCGTGCATGACCAGTCCAAAGAACTGAAAAAGGACCTATGTGGCTGGAGTGGGAAGAATGAGGAGAATAGAAGGAAGCGAGTTTGGAAAGGGAGGAAACTGAGCACTAAATAATTCAGAACTTTGTAAACTATGCTAAGGAATTTTGGTCTTTTTTCTAATGGCACTGGGAAGATATGGAAGCATTTTATTCAGGAAAATAACAATCAGATTTGTATTTTGGAACAATCACTCTAGATGCATCATGGAGAACAGATTGGAAAGGGATGAGGTAGGAAGCAGCTCCCAGTTAGAAAGCTAGGACAATAGTTCAGGCAAGAGATGATGGGTGCTTGGGTTAGAATTGTGGCAGGAGAAATGGAGCAGAGAAGATGGAGGTACCTGTGTTCAAATCCCGGCCCCACCATTTACTTAATCTCTCTGAGCCTCCCTTTTCTTATCTGTAAAATAGAGATAATAATAGTACCCACTTTCAGAGTTGTTGGAAGGGTTAAGTGAGGTAATATATGTGGAACTCTTAAACAATACCTGGAATTTAATAAGTGCTCAATAAATGGTAGCATTTATTTATTTATTTATTTATTTATTTTGAGACAGAGTCTCGCTCTGTTGCCCAGGTTGGAGTGCAGTGGCACAATCTCGGCTTGCTGCAATCTCCACCTCCCGGATTCAAGCGATTCTTCTGCCTCAGCCTCCTGAGTAGCTGGGATTAGAGGTACACACCACCATGCCCAGCTAAGTTTTATATTTTTAGTAGAGATGGGTTTCACCATGTTGGTCAGGCTGGTCTCAGACTCCTGACCTCTTGATCTGCCCCTTTCGGCCTCCCAAAGTGCTGGGATTACAGATGTGAGCCACCACACCCAACCAGCTATTATTATTATTATTATTATTATTAGAAGGCAAAGTTTTATAAAGTTCTGTTTTGAATTGAAACTTACTTGGAAAGTAATTTTGTTTCATCTGTGAATATATATATTTATAAGCAGTGTGATTATAAGAAAACTTGGTTTTAAGCATCAATATTGAGCAATATACAGATTTAGAATATAATAAATTATAAATAAGACTATCTTTCTACATGATATATCCCACGTTAAACATTTCTTCAAAACAGCAGTATTTGCCTGGTTCTTTGTTTTTACCTTTTAGGTACCGTTGGGCGAGACTGTACAGTACTTCCCAAACCACTGTCGACAGCGGTGAGGTAAAAACCTTCTTGGCCCTGGCTCACAAATGGTGGGATGAGCAAGGAATATATGCACCTCTTCATTCCATGAATGACCTGAGGGTGCCATTTATTAGGTAACATTCCAGAAACTCTAAGTCTTTTTAAATGGAACTTTTAAAGAATTCATATTTCACATTCCTTTTTCTCTTAGTTTATACCTAGTTAAAAATGCTGCACATTAAGTTTGCTTTGGAAATTAGGGAGATTCTTTTCAGTTACCACTGTTTGAAACCATTAATTTTTAATAATATCATGCAAGGTCTAGGCTGCTTTCATAGCTTAAGTTGAAGCCTATTTGTACATTATCAAGTTAATTACAATTAAGTTCTTATAAAAGCAAACTAGGGTCTTATGGCATCAAGGCCATTTTATTTTATTTTATTATTTATTTATTTATTTATTTATTTTTAAGATGGACTCTCGCTTTTGTCACCCAGGCAGGAGTGCGATGTCACGATCTTGGCTCACTGCAACCTCCACCTCCTGGATTCAAGCGATTCTCCTGCCTCAGCCTCCTGAGTAGCTGGGATTACAGGCATCTGCTACCATGCCCAGCTAATTTTTGTATTTTTCGTAGAGACAGGGTTTCACTATGTTGGCCAGGCTGATCTCAAGCTCCTGACCTCAGGTGATCCACCCGCCTCAGCCTTCCAAAGTGCTGGGATTACAGGCGTGAGACACTATGCGTGGCCCAAGGCCATTTTATAACTACAGACCTACTGTGGCTAAACTGACTTAGGCAGTTCTGGTAAAGTTTGATTCAACAATTTTTTTTGAGAACTTACCTCATACAGAGCTCAGGGACTAGACTGTAAAAGACTCTAAGATGAATGAAACATAATCTATGTGCTTCAGGAACTTATAGGTTGCTGTGGGAGTTAAGAAAAGGCAAGAGTTCATCAGGGCTTACATTTAAGAAATTGTTCATTTGTTCTTCTGTCCATTTATGTATTCATCAAACAATTTTGGGCAAAGCACTGTAACAGACACAGAATATCTGACTCAGACTTTGCCCTCAAGGAACTTCCTGGTTGGTTTTTGTTGGTTCATCCAGAATCAATGTAGCAAAAAGAGAAACACTGGCGTCCTTTAATACCACTGACTTTGTGGATCACTACAACAAATCGTAAAGCAAAGAAAAACAGAAATGTCATTTTTGTAAGCTAGAACACTGGTTCTCAAAGTGTAGGCCCTGGACAGTGACATTAGTTCCCCTAGGAACTCATTAGAAATGCAAATTATCATGTGTCATCAGGGACCTACTGCTCTGTGGAGGGATCAGAACTCCATTTTAAGCAAACTTTTTACATGATTCTGATGTATACCAAGTTTGAGAATTACTCTATTCAAACTGCTGAGACACCTTTAACTAGACATCACACATAATAACCCAGGGCAGTGCAAGCTATGGTTAAAAGTTTAGATTTTATTTTGAGCATAATTAGAACCCATCAAAGGAAAGTGGTATGATCTAAATTATGATGTAAAGGAGTCATTTTAGCTGCTGTTTAAAGAATGGAACGGACTTCGTTTGAAATGGGTCTTTTCTGTATAACTTTCCAGAATGCTCTACTTAACCACTATCCATGTTATTCTTAGAATTCAATTAATTTTAATGGTAATAGAAGATATCTTAAGATATCCTCATTATGAATAATGTTTATTTTAATATAAGTATAATTAAAATTTATGCATAATCCTCTATATATATATATATGTTTAGTTTACAATACTGTTAGGTGTATATATACTTGTGTGTATATGTGTGTATACATATGTTTGTATAGGTAAAGTATTACTGTGATTATCTTAGAAGTAAGTTTACTTGATTTAGATGCCAGTTTACATGCTCATACATGAAAACACCACTCACCGAGAAGATTAAAAGACATTTTATTTCAAAGGGAATATAGACAAATTCTGAAAATTAGGTCTCCCATCTGCTTTTTCTAAGCTCTGTAAAATAACCTATTTGCTGCTGACATGAAATGGGTCTAGCACATATTGACAGCAAAGTTAAAACATGTATCATGATATCTCAAGCAATTGAAATTAGGTTAATCTAGATTATTTCAAAAATTTTTCCTTATATTATTACTAGAACAGTAATTAAGTCATAATTACTACTAGATTATTTCAGACCTTTAAGCCTCCTGCTTTTTATTATTGAAAATGTTTTATAAATTAAATGTCGCTTAATGTTGAAAGATCTAGTTATCAAAAATATAAATAATGTATTTAAATGGAGGTTAATAGTTCCTTGAAACTGCATACATTTTTGACTTTTCATTGATAAAATTAATTATTTGTTTTGGTGTGTTTTGAATTTTTTAAAAAAGAGACAATCTTCTGAAAACAATTCCTAATCACCAGCCAGGAAAACCTTTGTTTGGGATGAAGATTCTTGACGTTGGCTGTGGTGGTGGGCTGTTAACTGAAGTAAGTGATAGCTTTCCTGCCATTTTTAACTGGGGGAAAAAAATTAAGAAGTAGACTTCTGCCTCATTTATTCTTTCAACAAATCATATTATTCATTAAAAAAAGAAATGCATGTTGGGAGGCCGGGGTGGGTGGATCACCTGAGGTCAGGAGTTCGAGACCAGCCTGGCCAACATGGTGAAACCCTGTCTCTACTAAAAATACAAAGATTAGCTGGGCGTGGTAGCGGGCACCTGTAATCCCAGCTACTCAGGAGGCTGAGGCAGGAGAATAGCTTGAACCCGGGAGGCAGAGGTTGCAGTGAGCTGAGATCGCACCACTGCACTCTAGCCTGGGCAACAAAGAGAGACTCTGTCAAAAAAAAAAAAAAAAAATTCCATAGTATTGATTTTAATCTTTTTTTTTTTTTTTTTTTTTTTTTTTTGAGGCAGAGTTTGACTGTTGTTGCCCAGGTTGGGGTGCAGTGACACCATCTCAGCTCACTGCAACCTCCGCCTCCCAGTTTCAAGCAATTCTCCTGCCTCAGCCTCCTGACTAGCTGGGATTACAGGCTCCCGCCACCATGCCCGGCTAATTTTTAGTAGAAACAGGGTTTCACCATGTTGGCCAGGCTGGTCTTGAACTCCTGACCTCAGGTAATCCACCCACCTCAGCCTCTCAAACTGCTGGGATTATGGGCATGAGCCACCGTGCCTGGCCAACCTGTGTTTAAAAACTTGGGCATGTCATGGGAAATGACTAAATACAAAAGCTGAGAGAAGAATTAGTTATGAAAAATTTCTAGTCAGAGAAAAAAAACTTTTGAGAAAAGATTGTTCTTTAGAAAATTTGAATATTTCAAAAATGATTGCAATTTTTTCAATGGCTTATTACATTTATTGCACTTTAAATATGTTAATACTGTACTATATGCAAGCAAATGTATCTAGAGTACATAGACAAAATTTTTTTCACTGTCTTCGAGTAGTTTTTTTTTTTTTTTTAATCAGTTTTTTGTTGTTTTCATTGTTCTTCTTACCTTTAAGTGTTTGATTGTGGAAAATTTCAAATGTGTACAAACTAGAGAAAATGTATATGAATTTCCATGTATCCATAAATGATGTCCAGTATTTATCACCTCATGGTTAATCTTGTTTCATTTTTGATAAGCTTTTTATTGCTAACATATGTTCTATTTTCTTCCTGAGGGTAACAGCTTTTTATGCTATTAGCCTCTAGGGCGGCTTGGGGCTTCAGTTATTGGAATCGATCCTGTGGATGAGAACATTAAAACAGCACAGTGCCATAAATCATTTGATCCCGTCCTGGATAAGAGAATAGAGTACAGAGTGTGTTCCCTGGAAGAGATTGTGGAAGAGACTGCAGAAACATTTGATGCTGTGGTAGCTTCTGAAGTTGTAGAACATGTGATTGATCTAGAAACATTTTTACAGTGCTGCTGTCAAGTGTTAAAAGTAAGGCTTATGGAGTTTATGTCTTGGTTTCTTCTTCTGAGTGTGTGTATATGTATCTATAGCAATAAAATGGTCCATAATGCATTAGCAGTCCAGCAGGCAAGGTACAGTAGAGAAGAAACCAGGAAGCCTGGATAAGGGGACAGCATCTCTGCTGTAGATTTCGTCTACCCCTCGGTTTTCCCTTACTACCAGGGTCTTCCTGTGTCCTGTTAGTATATTGGATGTCCAGGGATCTTGAAAAATGTTAGTGCTGGTTGGATATGGTGGCTTATGCCTGTAATCCCAGGACTTTGGGAGGCCAAGGTGGGCAGATCACTTGAGGCCAGGAGTTCGAGATTAGCCTGGGTAACATGGTGAAGCCCCGTCTCTACTAAAAATAGAAAAAGTTAGCTGGACATGTTGGTGCACGCCTATAATCCCAGATACTGAGGAGGCTGAGGCACAAGAATCGCTTGAACCTAGGAGGTGGAGGTTGCAGTAAGACGAAATTGCGTCACTGCACTCCAGCCTGGGCAACAAAGTGAGACCCTGTCTCCAAAAAAAAAAAAAGAAAAGAAAAATATTGGTGCTGAACACTGGAAAACCATACACTTATAGCAGTATTTTTCCATTGGTGTAGTCAGGGTTAAATACTTAATAGATATTGAATGACAATTATAAGACATTGATTTGAGGCCAGGCATAGTGGCTCACACCTGTAATCCCAGCACTTTGGGAGGCGGAGGCGGGTGGATCACCTGAGGTCAGGAGTTCGAGACCAGCGTGACCAACATGAAGAAACCCAGTGTCTACTAAAAATACAAAGTTAGCTGGGTGTAGTGGCGCATGCCTGTAATCCCAGCTTCTCGGGAGGCGGAGGCAGGAGAATCACTTGAACCTGGGAGGCAGAGGTTGCAGTGAGCTGAGATTGTGCCTGGGCAACAAGAGTGAAACTCTTTCTCAAAAAAAAAAAAAAAGAAAGAAATTGATTTGGGTGAATACTTAAAAATCAATAAAAATAATTATTATCATAAGTTTAAATAACAAGTAATTCTGTACGGGGTAAATGCATAATAGTTTACAGCTTATAAAAGAATATTTCATAAATATGATCTTACTGGATCTTACCTATAACTAGGTGAGGAAGGAGAGGCAGGTATTGTTATCATATCCTTTCACCTACGAGGACTCAGGATTTGTGAGAAGTCAGAGGTCACTAGGCATGTAAGTGGGGCTTAAGGCCAGACCATTTGACTCCAAGTTTGGTTCTCTCCACTACTTACTATGCTTATATAGTATAATTTGCGACAGACTTCGTTCTCTGAATGTGGTTCTAAGTTTTCTTTTAATAAATCCCCCTGAAGTATTATTATTATTACTATACTGACTCTGTTGTTCACATATTTAGGAGGTGACAACCTAAAGTCAAAAGCTAAAAGAATGAAATGCTTAGCTCTTATCGAAATAGAGCTTTTTTTAAAAAAAAATGTTATTTTTAAGTAATTTTAAATTTATAGCAAAATTGCAAAGATAGTACAGTGTGCCTTTCACCTGTCTTCCCCTTAGGTTAACATCTCACATCATAAGGGTAGGAACTAGGATGAGTCAAGTGAGGCACCTGGGGCACGAAATTGCAGGAGACAGCCCCTCTCAGGTGCTGACCCTGCACTTGCACACCCTGAAAGGGGTTGCCTGTTTCAATTCTGTGCCCTAGAAACCTCACTTACCTCATTATAGTTCTAGCCCTATGTATAACCCATGGTACCGTTCTCAAAACTAAGAAATTAACATCAGCATTGTACTTATTAACTGCACTACAGAGCTTGTTAAATTTTTTTTTTTTTTTTTTTTTTTGCTAATATCAGTTTGCTGTTACAGGATCCAAACCAGATTCCTGCATGTATTTAGTTGTCATTTCTCCTTAGTCTTCTTCAATCCGTGACAGTTTCTTGGTGTTTCCTCTTTTTTCTTGACAAGGTCTTACTGTGTCACCCAGGCTAGAGTGTCCTGGCAAGATCACTGCTCACTGCAGCCATTTCCTGGGCTCAAGCCATGCTCCCATCTCAGCCTTTCAAGTAGCTGGGACCACAGGTGCATGACACCATGTCCAGCTAATTTTAATTTTTAATTTTATATTTTACTTTTTTGTAGAGACAGGGTCTCCCTATGTTGCCCAGGCTGGTCTCAAAATCCTGGGCTCAAGGGATCCTGCCGCTTCAGCCTCCCAAAGTGCTAGGATTACAGGCATGAGCTACTGTGCCTCGCCCTTGTTTCCTCTTAAGTAGAGTTTTACTAGGCTTATCTCTTATTTTCCAAATAAAACTTCTTAATTGATTGTTAGTTCTTGTTTTATATGTCAGTCAGTGTGTATGAATGGAGGTTCTTTGACACATATGAGGGATGCTGGCCTTGTAGGGTTTAAAACTAATTTTTGCTTCAGTGTAAAGCCTATGTTTTGAAAATGACTATTGCTTACCACCATTTCCTTAGAGCATGAGTTTGTAGAACACAGATTAGATATTCATAAGTGACTTTTTTTTTTTTTTTTCCAGAGACAGGGTCTTCCTCTGTCACCCAGGCTAGAGTGCAGTGGCACCATCATAGCTCACTATAACCTCAAACTCCTGGACTCAAGTGATCCTCCCGCCTCAGCCTCCCAAATAGCTATGTCTACAGGTGCTCAGCACCATACCTGACAGTTTTTTTAAATACATTTTTTGTAGAGATGGGGGTCTCGCTATGTTGACCAGGCTTGTCTTGAACTCCTGGTCTCAAGCTGTCCTCCTGCCTCAGCACTAGAATTATAGGCATGAGCCACCATGCCTGGCCTATAAGTGATTCTTAAGATATTTCAGAGTTTGAAGTCGCAGTGAGCTATGATCATGCCACTAAAGGAAAAAAAGATATTTTAGAATACTGGAGCTTTACAGAGGAAAGTTAAAATGTGTGATAATATAGTGTAGGATATGTTTGTTTTTAATTTAAAGGCATACTCCAGTATTTCATGGTCCCCTCTTGTCTTTTTTATTTTTGGCTTAGAGTGGTATCTAAGATATATTATCTCTTTCTCCCAAGTCTCCTTTCTTTCTGTCTTTCTTTCTATATGTCTATAGTAATGTAATTATTTTGGAGGGAATCTTTGACATTTTTTCCCCATCAGGCTAATGAGAATGTATAAAAGAGAGAGGGGACATTAATATCCTTGCCATTTGTGAGGCAACATAGGAAACACCATAAATACATTTACTATAAAGTGGCAGACTGAGGCCAGGCGCAGTGGCTCACACCTGTAATCCCAGCACTTTGGGAGGCCAAGGCAGGTGGATCATGAGGGCAGGAGTTCGGGACCAGCCTGACCAGCCAAGATGATGAAACCCTGTCTCTATTAAAAATACAAACATTAACCGGGCGTGGTGGCAGCCACCTGTAATCCCAGCTACTTGGGAGGCTGAGGCAGGAGAATCACTTGAACCCGGGAGGCGGAGGTGGCAGTAAGCTGAGATTGTGCCGCTGCACTCTACCCTTGGTGACAGAGCAAGACTCCGTCTCAAAAATAAAATAAAATGGCACACTGAATAGTCCTATAAGTCCTTTGCATTCATCCCAGTGCTTATGTTGTTCTCTTTATATAAATATATATCACTTCAACCTCCACCTCCTGTGTTCAAGTGATTCTCCTGCCTCAGCCTCCTGAGTAGCTGGGAATACAGGCACTTGCCACCATGCCCAGCTTATTTTTATATTTTTAGTAGAGATGGGGGTATCACCATGTTGGCCAGGCTGGTTTCAAACTCCTGATCTCAAGTGATCTGCCCACCTTAGCCTCTCAAAGTGCTGGGAATATAGGTATAAGCCACCATGGCCAGCCACTCTTTATATTTTTTATAAAAATGAAATAAAAACAAAAAATGTTCAAACCTAATCATTAATGTTTTAGTGAGAGAACACTTAATGGTAGTACTTCCCTGCACAAGATGTATAGCTCTGTGCTGTAACAAACAAGTTAAGACAGGCTCAGCCCTTACAATGAAAACTGTTTTAACATATGTTAGAATGTGAATGTGGACATGTAACAAGGAAGAGCAGCCTGATCTCATTTTTATTGTAAAGTGTTTGGTATGTACAAAAGAATATATAAATATAAATCATAATTATGTATGATCTTAAGAGTTGTAAGCACTGTTGTATATACTCACCGAGTACATCTAAAATGCCTTTTATAGTGAACTTCCCAAGAGAAGAAAAAATGCTATTTTGCTGAATTATATTTTATTCATACATATATATTTTAACAGCACTCAGATTATTTGGAAGAAAGGAGGAGGGAGGGGGAAACTTAGCTTTTACTTAACTGATACACTTAACCTTTTACATTTTACTTCTATATAATTTCATTTCTTTTAGCCCAGTGGTTCTTTATTCATTACTACAATCAACAAAACACAGCTTTCCTATGCCTTGGGAATTGTTTTTTCAGAGCAAATTGCAGCTATTGTACCAAAAGGTACTCATACATGGGAGAAGTTTGTTTCACCTGAAACACTAGAGAGCATTCTGGAATCAAGTAAGTATTAAGAGAATTTTTTCCAATTTTCCAGGCCTAACTGAACTTTTAATATGCCAGTAATTATTACACACTTAGCCTAGCACTTAATAAAATAGGCCACTATGTTTTTGGATGTTGGTTTTATCTTCTCAATTAGGTCATAAACTCGTTGAAGTTAGGATTAAGTAGTAGATACCACTTCTCTTTTACCTGTCACCCCCTAACCCAGGGCCAAGCGGATAACAGATGATCAATGAATACTTTTTGGCTATTTAGTTCTCACTTGTTTAAGAAAGAGACACAAATGTCTGTTATTTACACATTCTCGGTCTGCCCTATTGAGCCCTACTTGTATCAGCTTATCTTACATATTATTTTTCCTGATTCCACCACGGTTACATATATTTTGAACTTCAGTATCACTTTTTTATGTATTTTATATGACTTACAGCATGACCTCATGGTTATTTTGGAGTTTTTTTTTCATCCTTTTATAGCCCATAAGCTACTTGAAGGCAGGACTATGTCTCCTTTTTGCACTCTCTAAGCCTAGCTGTGCTTTACACAGAGTGAGCTCTCGATTTATGTGATGAATTCCGGTCGAGTAATAGTGCTTGTCAGTTCATTTATTTGGCATTTGGTATTCCTACTGAGTACTTAGACTCCTATATTTCTTATGTTTTTTTTTTCCATGTAAGTCTATCAGTAAACTTGATTTTACTTGGAATACTATCAGTATATAGCGATGTAGTAAATTCTAAAGATTTCTGTGAGTAACTTTGTTGAAAATAAAGTAAGGCCACGCGCAGTGGCTCATGCCTGTAATCCCAGCATTTTGGGAGGCCGAGGCAGGCAGATTATTTGAGGTCAGGAGTTCGAGACCAGCCTGGCCAATGTGGCGAAACCCTGTCTCTACTAAAAATACGAAAAAATGGCCGGGCGCCGTGGCTCAAGCCTGTAATCCCAGCACTTTGGGAGGCCGAGATGGGTGGATCACGAGGTCAGGAGATCGAGACCATCCTGGCTAACAAGTTGAAACCCCGTCTCTACTAAAAATACAAAAAACTAGCCGGGCGACGTGGCAGGCGCCTGTAGTCCCAGCTACTCTGGAGGCTGAGGCAGGAGAATGGCGTAAACCCGGGAGGCGGAGCTTGCAGTGAGCTGAGATCCGGCCACTGCACTCCAGCCTGGGCGACAGAGCCAGACTCCGTCTCAAAAAAAAGAAAGAAAGAAAGAAAGAAAGTTAGCCAGGTGTGGTGGCGCATGACTGTAATCCCAGCTACTTGAGAGTCTGAGGCAGGAGAATCACTTGAAATCAGGAGATGGAGGTTGCAGTGAGTTGAGATTGTGCCACTGCACTCCAGTCTGGGTGACAGAGTGAAACTCTGTCTCACACACACACACAAAAAAGAAAGAAAATAAAGTAGGAAAAAAATCTTTTAAAGATGCGTTATGGGGACAATCTCCTGTTGGCACATATTTTTTAATGACAGCTAACATTTATTGAGTACCTACCAAACTCCAAGCATTGTGCTAGTTTACACACATAGCTCATCTAATTCTAACAGTTCTGTGATAAAAGTTCTGTACATGTAAGAAAACTGAGATTTAGAAAGTTAGGTGGCTTGCCCATGGTCACCATATAATAGATACCCGAGCTGGGATTTGAATCCAGGCAGACTGCTTTGGAATATGTGTCCTAATTGCGACTTACTGAAGTTCTGCACTAAATTGTGATTAGTGCTTAGTTACAAAATACATTTGCCGATTAAGTTAGGAATCCTTTTTCTTCTTCTTTTCCTTCTTCTTTTCCTATCCATTTAGTGTATTCTCAGCATTTTTAATGCAGAGAGTTGCATGAAACTCTTGGAAATTGGAAGGAAAATATTTATTAAATCTACTCTTTCTGATTTTTTTTTCAGATGGTCTGTTAGTTCAAACAGTGGTAGGAATGCTCTATAACCCCTTCTCAGGTTACTGGCATTGGAGTGAAAATACCAGCCTTAACTATGCAGCTCATGCTGTGAAATCTGGGGTCCAGGAACACCCAATGTCTGCTGAGTTTGCTTTCAAGGGAGAAGCAGAAGAGCTCCAAGCTAATGCCTGCACCAATCCAGCTGTGCATGAAGAGCTGAAGAAATGAATTGTTTCTGAGGACTATCGTAATGTGGCTTAGATATCTGATGTTTTCAAATATAAGAAATATATAATTTATCCTTTGAGAGAGAATCATGAGGAAAAGAAGGTCAATAAAAAGGGCTAAAACCTTGATCAGAAGTTTTTGTTATTTCATCTAATAGCTACTTTCAAGGGATACTAAGAATAAAAAGTTTTGTCAAGATACTATGTGATCGAGGAGTTTAAGTTCCTCAATCTTTGTTGTATAATTAGGGTATGCATATTCATTTCATCGTACAAAAAAAATTATATATATATATATATGCTGTAATTTGTTTTTGTTTTGAGATAGGGTCTCACTCTATTGCCCAGGCTAGATTGTGGTGGCGTGATCATGGCTTACTGCAGCCTCAACCTCCAGGACTGAAGCAATCTTCACACCTCAGCCTTCTGAGTAGCTGGGACTACAGGCATGCACCACCATGCTTTGCTATTTTTGTATTTTTATTTTTATTTCTTTTGAGATGGAGTCTTGCTCTGTCACCCCTGAGCTGGAGCGCAGTGGTGCTACCTCATAGCTAGGCTCACTGAACCTCCGCCTCCCAAGTGCAAGCGATTCTCCCACCTTAGCCTCACAAGTAGCTGGGATTACAGGTGCCCGCCACCACGCGCAACTAATTTTTGTATTTTTAGTAGAGACAGGGTTTCGCCATGTTGGCCAGGCTGGTCTTACACTCCTGACCTCAGGTGATCCACCTCGGCCTCCCAAAGTGCTGGGATTACAGGCATGAGCCACCATGCCCGAGCCATAACTCATTTTTTTAATATACTTTAAGTTCTGGGGTACATGTGAAGAACATGCAGTTTTGTTACATAGGAATACATGTGCCATGGTGGTTTGCTGCACCCATTAAGCCGTCACTGCATTAGGTATTTCTCCTAATGCTATCCCTCCCCTAGCCCCCAACCCCCTGACAGGCCCCAGTGTGTGGTGTTCCCCTCCCTCTGTCCATGTGCCATAACTAAATTTTTTAACTGAGTTTTTAAAAAATCCTTTCTACTTAAAAAAAAAAAGCACCATAAAACATTTAAGGAACTGTATACAGAAGTATGTCCAAATAACCTTAAATTCTTAAATTTAATATTTGAATCCAAATGCAGCACATATTTAGCAACTCATTTGCTTTCCAACAAAGTAAAATTTAAAGGAAAAAAGTACATATTTTATCTTCCCAAATATAAGTGATATGCAGTTATTAGTGAATCATCTTGAAGCAGTTATTACTGAATCATCTTGAATTTCTAGTACTTAACAAGGTATATATTTAATAACTGTGAAAGTTAGGCATCTCTTTCTACAATAAATGAGTTTTGTTTTGGGGACTGCTTTTGAAGCAATTCCATTACATATTTCTTTTTTTTTTTTTTTTTCTGGAGACGGAGTCTCGCTCTGTCGCCCAGGCTGGAGTGCAGTGGCCGGATCTCGGCTCACTGCAAGCTCCGTCTCCCGGGTTCACGCCATTCTCCTGCCTCAGCCTTCCCGAGTAGCTGGGACTACAGGCGCCCGCCACCTCGCCCGGCTAGTTTTTTGTATTTTTTAGTAGAGACGGGGTTTCACTGTGTTAGCCAGGATGGTCTCGATCTCCTGACCTTGTGATCCGCCCGTCTCGGCCTCCCAAAGTGCTGGGATTACAGGCTTGAGCCACCGCGCCCGGCCCCATTACATATTTCTTAGATTAATGTTTAATACCATTACTACTTCTTCCAACAGATAGAGTGAGGAGGCTTAATTTACTAAGGAACCCACTAGAAAACAGACTAAGAATCAAACTTCTAGATGAAGTCCAATGGAAACTCCTCATTTTTAGTCCCCTAATTAGTCACTGGCAACTGAAGTTAACATTTTTCTTTTAATTCTTGAAATTTCACTTTCTTCCCCTAAAATGCCACTGGAAAAAAAAAAAATAAGCTAAGATAGTTGGGAAGTGTTTGCCCAAGGAACCTAAACCAACAGACATTGACAAAGGAATATAGAAAACCTATCAACTGAAAAGTGGAAAAGGCAGAAAGTAAAAGCTGACCTCTACATGGGCCACACACTGCCCCATCTGTGTTGTCACATTTGGCCAACACGTTCTGTGTATGTCCTTATGCAGCATCCAGATTTTCAGAAAAAGCCGGAGACTTGCGTACTTCAAGAGGCATAAAAATATATTTCAAATTAGTCCTTTTCATTATAAAAATGTTAGCTGAAAAAGGAAGTTTCCATAACTAAATTTTTGTTGTTGTTTGGGACAGAAACTCACTCTGTCGCCCAGGCTGGAGTGCAATGGCATGATCTCGGCTCACTGTAACCTCTGTTAATTCCTATGGAATTAATAAATGAAAATATATCTTGCCCCTGTGTATATCTAATTTGATCTTGCAGGCCAATTTCAATCATATTCCAGAAGAAATAGACTTTTAAAAGACATTACAATTTCTTAAATGTGTATTTGTAAAGTGAGGATTACTCAGCTGAAAAGTTCTAATTTTGAGAACCACCTATTTTTGAAAACCAAGAATGTAGCAATTAGGGTTATAGTAGGAATTTTAATATGCAAAACTTCCCTTAGGAACCCTGGGGCATAAGAGTCCCTGCAAGAACTAATGATGGAAACTTTAGGGCTGATAGTCCAGCAAAAGAGACTGTAGATCTGTCTTAGGAAGAAAAAGAACAAGGCTGGAGAAAGCAGGAAGGTGAATTTGTTTGGGATTTTGGTTTAGGGTCAGAGGAACAGCTGTGGGAAGCTGAGAGATGATCTGAATGAATATTCATACCCTACTTATAAAAGTAGATGACTCATGTAGTCCTCATGAAGGCAGTCAGATTGCTCAGTGGGGCTACTAATTATAAAAACTCCTAGACCATTTAAGGTTGGCTCCCAGAGCTATGAGCACTAGGAAAGCAAAACTTTCAGCACTTGGAAGTAGTAATAAATGATGGTAGGAAGAGTCACAAGAGAGAAGTCAAGTGGTGTAGCTTTTTTGAAAACATCCATAAGGAACCATAGGAGCCAGCACCCAGCACACACACAAAACACCTGTAGAACCCAGAGGCGCCTTCTGGCAAGATTCCAGAAACTAGCAACAGTAATGAATAAAATCAATAAAACATCATGTGCCTATTCTACATATTTCCTCATAGCAAAACATGACAACAAAAGTCTTTTACATCTTTCAGGAGGCACTAGAATTGTCGGCATCGATTCCTCAAATTATGCCTGAGTGTTCTCAAATGAAAATGTCAGTGTTACTACAACTGTAAGCTTAGAAAACTTCCTATTTTTGATGATAATGTCAGGATTTAGAAGTCAGGAGTATCCTTTACATAGTCAGGAGCATCATTTACACAATCTCTATGTAAACAAATCTTCCTCAAATCATCTATTTTGAGCATGCCATCTCTTTCCTGTTGGAAACCTCACAGATATACTGACCCCATGCCCCAACCTCTTCTCCAGTGGTTTCTCATTGCTCCTAAGATATAAGGCCGAAATCCTTTAACGTGGCTACCAAGTGCCTTCATGGTGTAGCCCTACCTACTTCTCAAGACTGCTTTTTGACAAGCTTGCTGTATTTGAATGACAGAACAGTTCATTACAAGTCTTTTGCATTATTTTATTTTATTTTTTGAGATTCAGTCTCACTCCATCGTCCAGGCTGGAGATCAGTGGTGTGATCTTGCTAACAGCAACCTCTGCCTCTCGGGTTCAAGCAGTTCTCCTGCCTCAGCCTCCCGAGTAGCTGGGACTATAGCTGGGACTATAGGCTAAATGCCCAGCTAATTTTTTTGTATTTTTCGTAGAGATGGGGTTTCACCATGTTGGCCAGGCTGGTCTCGAACTCCTGACCTCAAGAGATCCACTTGTCTTGGCCTCCCAAAGTGTTGGGATTACAGTCATGAGCCACCACACCTGGCCTTTTGCATTATTTTAAACTTTACATTTTAAAATAATTTAAAAATAATTTCAGACTTAGAATAAAAGATAACAAAAGTGATACAAAGAGTTCCCATATATCCTTTACTCAGCTTCTCCAAATGTTAACTATTTTAACCACATTATAATTATAAACACCAGGAAATTAAATTTGATACAGTACTGTTATCTAATCTAAAAACCTTATTTATATTGTATTAATTGTGCCACTAGTTGTGCCACTTTTTTTCCTTTTGAAACAAGATCCCACATTGCATTAATTTGTCATGTCTTCTTAGTTTCCTTTAATTTGGGATGGTTCCTCCATCCTTCTTTAACATTCATGACTTTGACACTTGAAGAGCACTGGAGAGTTATTTAGAATGAACCTTAACTTGAACTTTTCTGAATTTTCTTTGTGACTAAATTCTGATAATGCGTTTTTGGAAAGAATACCACAGACATGATGCAGTGCTCTTCTCCACCACAGTGCATCCTATCAGGAAACACATAATGTCAATTTGTCTTGTTACTTGTGATGTTAACTTTCGTCACTTGACTAAGGTGATGTCTACCAGGTTCCTTCACGGTAAGGTTAGTATTTTTCCCTTTGAAAAACAGAATATTTTGCTGAGTATCTTGTAGCAAGATAACCCTAGAAATATATAAATATTCTGTTTTTCATCATATTTTACCCATTAGCTGTATCATCCATTGATGCTTCTTGCTTGGAACTATTATGCCTTTGGTGTTTGTCTCTTTCTACACTTATTAATGGAATTCTTCTGAAAGGAAGAGCTGTCCCTTTTCCTCCATTTATTTATTTATTTATTTATTTATTTATTTACATCCATATAGACTCATAGATATTTATTATTATTGATGGGTTATTATCATTCATTACCATTTCATGAAATGATTATTCATTATTACTTTTTTCAACTTGTCCCAGATTTGGCCATTGGAACTGCTCCTGTGTCCTTTCATGTCCCCATAAGTTTTTTTTTTTTTTTTTTGGAGACAGAGTCCCACTCTGTCACCCAAACTGGAGTGCAGTGGCACGATCTCGGCTCACTGCAACCTCCGCCTCCCGGGTTCAAGTGATTCTCCTGCCTCAGCCTCCCGAGCAGCTGGGATTTTTTTTTTATTATTATTTTTAGTAGAGCCAGGGTTTCGCCATGTTGGCCATCTGTC